AACCACTTTTTGATATCTTTCAAAAGAAATGAGATATATAGGCTCAAAGTGGACAATCCGGGTGTCGTTCTATTAGAGGTTTTACGGTAACTGAGAGCTTATATTATCAAAATTGATGGTCAGCCTAGGCATACTTTGAAATTCGATGTTCTCCTCACCTGTAGGTATTCCCGTAGTTCCTGGAGTTGGAGGTGTTCCTGTTACAATTCCTGGAATCTTGAGAGCCCCTGTAGCTCTAACGTAATTCAAGAGCATACTGATCGCATCTGACAACCAAGAGAGACGAATGGTTAACACACCTTCGAAAACTTGGGGATTGTGGGACATCTACAATATTTTTCGTAATCAAATTGAAACAAGGTTCGTGAATTTCCTACCAGGTCCGAACATGCGATGATGAGCTCTTGATGGAATACAGCTGCTTGTGGTTCATCAGCTGGGCAGCATTCAAAAAGTAGTCGATTCAAATCACTTGGAGCAATCGGGCGAACAATGATTTCCTCACGAGCTCCTGGCCGATTACGGACACCGAGTGTGATTTGTTTTCCTCGAACAAGCATATTAGTGATAGCTGGAGCCAGGGAGTTCATTGCTTTATGAAGACGTCCAGCACAGTATCGAACCAACCACCAAAGGCGCAACTGGCAAGCACGGCGATAAACTTTTTCCAAGCGCTCTTTGAGAGTGTCTGAAATAGTTAAGATACAGTTTCAGAAGACTTGATTCATCAATTACAATTGTGCACCAGCAAGTCCGAATGAGTTCTTGACCAGAGGATCCAGATAGCGAAAGCCAAAAGACGTGGTCTCTCCATATCATCTTTCTCAATGATTTGATACAATTCATGGTCAGTTCTTGGAGTGACATCTTTCTGAAAAAATTGAATACAGGAATCCAGGAATCAGAAAATGTACTTCATGAGTCATTTCATCGTCGATTCCCTCTTTCAAACTGAGTCTTGAGAAGATCGCAGAATTGTCATGAGTCTCTTCCATTATATCGATGTCGAATTCCAAGTCATCCGAATTGGCGAAGTCGATGTGCTCAATGCAGCAGGAGTTCAGAAGTTGCTGAAAAATATTATTGGAGAATGCCGATGCCCCAAACACAAACATGAACTCTTCCCAATCTGACGCGGATTCCATTGATGTGTCCATTCTTCAATTGAACAAGAAGATCCAGGATGTGGTCGAAATACTCTCCCGCGACGTTCTCCTCTCTCAAGACCACGCACATCGTCGGTCGTCCTGCCAACTTCCATCTTCGTGCAACGAATTCAATGTCTCTCTGTGAAAAAGTTTCAATTTCAAAATCATAACCGTTTTGTGGTGGTATACAGCTATCGTATTATGCGCCGTACATAATTAAGCGTATAAGTGTCATAAATCCATTGTACTAGTACTTTACGAACTGTACTAGTGTTTGCATGTTGTCAGCGGGACGTCCTTCACATAGGTGTCCCATGTGTAATCCTACTATTCTTCTTTCTACCGGTATGGAATATGCATTTTAGACCTGTATTGTCTATTCAGTAAAACGTGGGCG